AGACATAGGAGGGAGACTTGCAAGTGAATTGGTTATGGTGGACTGGGCTGCATTTGCCACTCATCAACCTCCGCGCCCGAGGCCAACAAATAATAAAGACCGGAAGTGGAATCTGGCGTAGGCATTTGGTGCGGCGTCAGCCTGAACCTACACGTGCCGCCACGAACCCACCCTCTCACATACACCATTTAGTCTGGGAGCGCAACTCGAAGAAAACCTTAATTGTCCTCACCTGGCTGTCGTGGTGGTCCAGGGCATCTGTCCAGTGGCCCATTTCAAAGACAAAGATACGTATGCAAGGCTCAATACATTAACTGGATTAGTGCTTCCGACGACAGTCTTCCTAGACACGTCCTTTTGTGCAGTTTCAAACCCATGAGATGTAGTATTATGTGAAATGCGTTAAAATGTGATGGGGATGGAATCCACTGATTCATCCAGACTTCCCCCCTCACTTTCTCTCAATTTGTTCTCTAATGTGCGGGTCGATTGTCCGAGCGGTGAAGTATACTCATGCTCGAGCCTAACGTCAAGTTCTGCTGACTCCAATATGCTAATTCTACACGGACGTAGCCATTGTGTGTTTAATGGACACGGTCTGGTTTTTCAAGAGTTTTCAGCGGGTCGACAAATACCGTAAAGCACACGAGGTACCTTTTAAGATGCGCTAACATCTCTATCTTAATATTGGCGTCTCGGACGCTGAAGATTTTCTGGGAGATTTTGGAAAATACTTAAAATCCTGTGCCCTGTTGTGTCCTCACAGCACTCCAAATATTATCGCGTCCTTTGGGAATTCCGAGTTCTCACAAAGGATGTACAATTAGGTATTCTTCTGAGCCATTATAACATTTCAAGACTAAAACATTTACAAACATTTAAGAAAAGGATCACGGGCAAAATTGCGAGTAAAGCCTCTAAAAACAGTGCCACCCTAATCGCGAACATGCGCAACAGCAAAAGCTTTTCATTTTGAAATTGCAGCACCATTTTTTTCTGCTCCCCATTTCCATTGAAATTGTTCCTATATACGTCTGCTCAGTTCGCTGATTATATGCTCCTTATTTACTTAAACTGCAGTAATATAGGGATTATGTACTCCATTTCAACACCCTTTTGAAAGAACTGAATTTCTGACGCATATTTTTCAGTTCGTTCACCGGCAATTGTTCATGCTGTCGACAGTTGCATTTTTCGGCCATTATGTAGCGTTTGCGACTTTCCTGTGTTATTCCTTTTGCGTGGGCATTTTTATCTGCAGTAGATCAGGAAGGTTTGCTCAAAATATGGCCATGCTACTTTCTAACTGAAGCATATCTATATATCTCTCTGTGTGGTGTCTGTTGAAACTCCGCTTGACAGTATGATACGGGTAGCGCTTACATTTCGTCTTACCACTTAAACGTTCACACACAGGTGAAACATCCTTCGCGCCTCCATTTCAATTCATTATGTTCACAGTGCTCATCGTGTACTATTATATCTACGCTGCAAGAAATTTTCAGTTAAAACATCAGAGATTTTGCGTTTAATGACAATATTAATAATGAATAATCCCTGTTTGTTTACGGCCCACAATTAAGGACAGTTCCGGCCATCTGGTGATATACCATCATGACTGAAAGCGGCTGTTCATGCGGCCGCCAATTTCTAGCATGTTTGGCACGAACATATTCCGAAGAATTTAAGCTAGGGCACGCATTGTCAAAATAATTACATCTAATACACCGTTAAACCTATTCAATAATAAGGTAAGGAAAAAAACAGAAACTACCTTAATCGGAAAAAAAGGTTTTTTCTATTAATCGCTTACTCCTTGCAAGATCTCATAATTGACAGATTGGGTCATTATCGAAAACAGGCCCTAAGGTGTGTCCAATAATTAGAAAAAACATCTGGAGTGGACAGAATGAGATTACCGACAAACACCTGGGAGATTGGAATGGCTACATCTGCCTTATTAGCTGTCATCAGACAGACTAACTCAACCCCAGGTTTCTACAACTGCTGAAGCTCGGTACCAGCGACATAAAGTATCTTTAGAAAAACACAAACTCTGTTATCTTACAGTTAAACGTTTGGTCTCAAGGATATCATTTGACCTGTTGTATATCTGAAAAAAATACTTCAATTTTTAAGCTTGTCTGCGGAATAAAACATGCCCGCTCGTATGTTGGGCCTGCCTATGAACTATTGCCAGCAGGTGCAATCGCGGTTGAGGTGGCTATTTTTTCCCGCCATTTCGCAAGATGATTTAATAATTCCATTAATACATGCGTCTTTGGTGTGTGTGTGTGCGCGTAAGCTATTAACGGCGTGCGTTTATTGACATGAGTCCGTTCATTTTAACGCTCTTGTCCATATATGCGCGTGGGTGTCTATTTTCAAATTGAAGAACAATCAACTCTTGAAATGGTTTATCTTTAAGGCAGGCGTTTCAGTTTTTGAAAATGTGTGCAGACAAAGATCTTTATTCTAACCCAATTGGATAGCTGTTGAGGACAAAATCATTCATTTAAATAGCCAAGTCTATTTTAAGATTACTCAATGTGGGCTTAGTATGCTGAACAGATTGAGTACCTCGCATAATGCTTGCTTTAGCAGAAGATAAAACATCCACTTACTGTACCAAAGACTCTCTCCGTTTACTGATTTGACCCTGCGATTGGAAATACATAGTTCTCATGGTATTTCATGCGTCGACGCACCAAAATATCCCCGAAATCGTCGGGAAAAAATGTTTTGCACAGATACTTCACTTATATTTGACAACAGCTTGGCAGAGCAGGGGCTCTGATTAATTAAATCGGCTTTGCAACCAACCGCTAAGAAGCCTTCAACAGTATATTTGGAGAGTTTTCAATGTGGTTTTCCCCGGCCATGAAAAATGCATATGTACAGAATATTTTTAGGAAATTAAAGAAGATCTTTGGAAATGGAGCCCTACTCGTGCAGTGTCAAGTCGGTGACACCAACTCCTCGTTAAACGAAATCAGGAGCGAAGAAAGTGAAATTATCGAGTTACATAGGTTGGCAT